CTTACCTGTGTCTCCACCTTTCCTTACCTGTGTCTCCACCTTTCCTTACCTGTGTCTCCACCTTTCCTCACCTGTGTCCACGAGGACTGAGCTCCGGCTCTTGGGCCTCGCCTTAAATCTGGCAATTGTGGATTGAAAATGAAATAATGATTGAAAATCAATTGAGATTCTTCCCAAGCACTTCTGGCACCATCTTGAGGTTATCTTGAGATGATTTCGGGGCTTTAGTGTCCCCGCGGCCCGGTCCTCGACCAGGCCTCCACCCCCCAGGAAGCAGCCCGCGACAGCTGACTAACACCCAGGTACCTATTTTACTGCTAGGTAACAGGGGCATAGGGTGAAAGAAACTCTGCCCATTGTTTCTCGCCGGCGCCTGGGATCGAACCCGGGACCACAGGATCACAAGTCCAGCGTGCTGTCCGCTCGGCCGACCGGCTCCCAAACCATACATAGACTTTATAAATACATAGACTTACAAATTAACAAAAGACTGGGCGATGCAGATTAATAAAGACAAATGTAGGGGTTAAAACCTAAAAAATATATTACCGTATATTAGCTAATCAGCCCAGAAACTACCCAATCTGATTGTCAAAAAGATCTTCGAGTTATAATTAGTAGGCAACGTAATAAAATTATAAAAATGGTTAAAATTAAATTATTCAGATTTATTAAATCAATCAAATCAAACAAAATGTATTAAAAAAATGGTAGTACATTTATAATTAGAAGCATCAGAAATAAGACCCTTGTTAGGTCCTATTTAGATAGGTCACAGTTTGGTCACGTACTGTGAAACGGATGGACTCTCTACAAAGTGTGCACAGTAACAGTAAATCCTATTTACAGTAACAGTAAATCCTATTTACAGTAACAGTAAATCCCATTTACAGTAACAGTAAATCCTATAACAGCCTATGCTGTAATGCCGAAGCTAAAGCCGGAGCCACAAATGCCTGAACACTCCTGCGGTACAAAATCCACCTGGATAAAATCATTGGGACAAATCGGGGGGGACTTTTGACAAGCCACCGGCTTCCTGTCCTCATTTAAGCCACTAGAGAGATAGTGGCCCCTCAGGCAAATTCAGGTAAATTCCGAGCGTCCTTTATAAAGATATACTAACCGACCCGTAATTAACATTATCAAGAATGACAAAGAGGGGAGACATAATTGAGACATACAAAGTGACGAACGGCTATAACAAGGTGGTATTAATTGGCTGCTAAATATATCACAGCAAACTAGAACACGACAGAATTGAAGTGGGTAAATCCAGGCTTGGAAATAGGGTTGCAAAACGCCCCAAACGCTTTGCGTAATAGTGACTTTAGGCATTGTATGTACTAGCTCTATCTATAAATCTATCAACTTTTATATCTTACCTTGTATGTATGTACTTAATAAGTATTTGTATTTGTAAAAGTGTGGAACACTCAATAGACAGTATGGGCGTTTAAAACCATACAGACTATATGGTGTTTAAACCATAGATTAGCTATAGATGGGTAGTATTGATTGGCCTTCATTATCCGGTTGATGGGTCGGATTGATTGTTTTACAGTCTCCGTGGTGCAGTGGTAAGACACTCGCCTGGCGTTCCGCGAGCGCTTTGTCATGGGTTCGTATCCTGGCCGGGGAGGATTTACTGGGCGCAATTCCTTAACTGTAGCCTCTGTTTAACGCAACAGTAAAATGTGTACTTGGTTGTAACAACGATTCTTCGCGACGGGGATCGTATTCCAGGGACCTGCCCGAAACGCTACGCGTACTAGTGGCTCTACAAGAATGTAACAACTCTTGTATATATCTCAAAAAAAAATGGATATAAAAAGCGAGCTGCCTCAAAATAGAACCTTTTGCAGGTTCCTCCGTCATAGAGTCAATAGTAATTCACTAATACAACACCGTTTGTTAAATTATTCCTTTATAAAAGTTGTAAGGCATATATTCCCTCATACCTCACTAACATGCCTCGCCTCCACCTCACTGGACCTCATTGACCTCCATCCTACCCCCTATTTGACCCATGTGTCACTAATCCTGCTTGTTGTTGTTAAACGTTCAGCTACTGGCAACTAAGTTGCAAGTAGCACGGGCTATGGTGAGCCCGTAGTGGACTTACCTGGCACAGGAGCGGGGCAAGTAGCACGGGCTATGGGAGCCCGTAGTGGACTTACCTGGCACAGGAGCGGGGCAAGTAGCACGGGCTATGGTGAGCCCGTAGTGGACTTACCTGGCACAGGAGCGGGGCAAGTAGCACGGGCTATGGGAGCCCGTAGTGGACTTACCTGGCACAGGAGCGGGCAAGTAGCACGGGCTATGGTGAGCCCGTAGTGGACTTACCTGGCACAGGAGCGGGGCAAGTAGCACGAGCTATGGTGAGTCCGTAGTGGACTTACCTGGCACAGGAGCGGGGCAAGTAGCACGGGCTATGGTGAGCCCGTAGTGGACTTACCTGGCACAGGAGCGGGGCAAGTAGCACGGGCTATGGTGAGCCCGTAGTGGACTTACCTGGCACAGGAGCGGGGCAAGTAGCACGGGCTATGGTGAGCCCGTAGTGGACTTACCTGGCACAGGAGCGGGGCTGTAACTGTTCTGTGTGAGCCCTGAGTTCTGACACTCCTAATCCTGCAAATCTCTTGTTAGATAAAGGCGTCACAGGTCAGGTGTTAACTACAGATAAAGGCTACTCTGAAGAAATATTGGGGCCTTACCGTGGTACCCGACCCGCATCTTATCGCGGCCATCAGGGAGGATATAATGAGAACAATGGAACTAGGCAAGGAACAAGAAAGGATGGAGATAAAGGAGAAGAAAAGTGGGGCAGGAACCGAGAGAAGAAGGGAATAATGAGCTAGGGAGGGAGAATGGAGAGAAAGGAAGGTGGGGGGTAGGGAAGGAGGGAGATAGAGAAGGAAATGCGAGGGGAAAGAGTGAGGGAGGTGGGGCTGGTGGGAGAGGGGATGGGAGGGAGGGGACGTGGAACAGATCAATACACAAGCCAGGCAACAGCGTCCTTGTATTCCTCGCCCTATGTTGTTGACACAAGTTGGCACCACCTGGCACTCTTGTCTAGACCACCTGGCACTTGTCTAGACCACCTGGCACTTGTCTAGACCATCTGGCACTTGTCTACACCACCTGGCACTTGTCTACACCTGGCACTTGTCTACACCACCTGGCACTTGTCTACACCACCTGGCACTTGTCTACACCACCTGGCACTCGTCTAAACCACCTGGCACTTGTCTACACCACCTGACACTCGTCTAAACCACCTGGCACTCATCTAGACCACCTGGCATTAATAAATTCTTCGGATTTATCACCGTTCGAAAAGTGGAGAAATTGACGCCGACAGTGTTATATGAACGATGTCTTGGAGCAGAACTCAAGAGAGCATAACGATAAGGGTTAGAAATGATTTTATCACCCAAGATGACCTTAGTGTGTGACCTGAAGCTTGCTTGCTGGGGCAGTTAGCGTGGGTCACCAATTGCAAGGCGGCCTATGAGAGGCGCTTATATCTTTATCGCATCATAAAGACACTTTGTCTGCTAATTGGGACGGGGGGGGGGGGGGGGGGGAGGGAGGCGCAGAGGTCAGATCTGCACCGGGAGCCCCAGAGCTGGTATTCAACCTCTTGTGTCTAATGAAAGTCATATTGCAACCATCTTCTCCTGTCTTGGTGAGCCATAGTGACACACCTGCCTTGTCTCCCACACACACCTGCACTCCCAACACCACTACCAGTAACCACACCTCCACCCCCCTCCCCTCATCCCTACCTCTTATGAAGGTACCAAAAGCTAACGCCTTTAAAGCATATAGAGATATGAAAGGTGTGTTAATTTTACTGTAAGAATCATAATATTATTTGTATTGTGTCTCATTTACCCTTCCATCTGCACCGGATGGTAGAGCGACGGTCTTGCTACTTGCAGGTCCACGTTCAATCCCCCCCCCGATCATCCAAGTGGTGTAACACTGTAAAAGTGTTTGGTTTAGTTTAATACATATATATAGTACATGAGTCACAGACAGGGATTTGAGAAAGGCGCCAGGTTGTCGGCCTGAGATCTCACACCTCAAAGCGTTAATGACCTCAAGTGTCCTGAGGTCAGATCATGCGAATTTCACCTTGCTTCTACTAATCTCTTAATTGGAGCCTGGTAGCCTTCAAACTTGCCGACGTTTAAGGAGTGGCTTGGTAGAGTGCCGGAGGCTATCTACTTGTGAGCGGAGTTAGCTACTAGGTTCCCCAATATATACTCGAATTGATAGCTCTCCGAGTATATATTGGGGGAACCTAGTAGCTAACTCCGCCCACAAGTAGATAGCCTCCGGCACTACCAAGCCACTCCTTAAACGTCGGCAAGTTTGAAGGCTACCAGGCTCCAATTAAGAGATTAGTAGAAGCAAGGTGAAATTCGCATGATCTGACCTCAGGACACTTGAGGTCATTAACGCTTTGAGGTGTGAGATCTCAGGCCGACAACCTGGCGCCTTTCTCAAATCCCTGTCTGTGACTCATGTACTATATATATGTATTAAACTAAACCAAACACTTTTACAGTGTTACAGTGGCTAATGGGGACCCAATCCTTTTCGCCGCCCTATCCCACATCCTTGTCCTCATATGCTATATAGTCGGCCTCATAGCCTGGTGGATAGCGCGCAGGACTCGTAATTCTGTGGCGCGTAATTCTCACGAGGCATAAACAAATGGGCAAAGTTTCTTTCACCCTGAATGCCCCTGTTACCTAGCAGTAAATAGGTACCTGGGTGTTAGTCAGCTGTCACGGGCTGCTTCCTGGGGGTGGAGGCCTGGTCGAAGACCGGGCCGCGGGGACACTAAAAGCCCCGAAATCATCTCAAGATAACCTCAAGATAAGTCGTAATGGCTCAGTGCTTTCCCATATAATCATTTCCATGATGTTAACTGTATTGCCCTGTAAACCTGTTGATAATGTTAACAATGGTAAATACCTCGGCAG